AGTGGAAAAAGTAACAGTAAGTACAGATAAATACCAGTAAGACAAATGCACACTCACAGTAATGACTGTTTGTCTTGTATACATGTGGGAGAAGCTCAGTGCTTTAAATACAGCATTTCACATTCTCTTACATTTTGTGTTTCGGCCATTAGCGAACACTGAAATGTGTACAAGAGAGGAACTTGAGTGATAAATGAACACGAAGTTTACAAGCATCTCTCGGTGCTGTGCTAAACCCAGCACTAACCTCCTGTTTTGGCAGTGGTAGCTGGTACCCAGAGCCAAGCAACAGATGCTGGGTTTCATCAGTTCTAACGACGTGTGAAATACACAACAAGCAAAGGACCCACACTCTACTACTTTGGCCTTCTGCCAGAGGAGCCTTCTCACCTGCTGATTAGCCACAATAACACTTTTTAGACCCGTTAGCTGGCTAGAAGTTGCATTTTGTTTCCTTAGAATAATTCAAAGGAATTTGCAGTGAAGAGTTACAGAGCTTTTTTTGGCATGAATTTTAAAAATATTAAAATAATGCAAGGGCTTTTCAACAGGTGGTGGGCAAGTTGTTCTAATCCATAAACCATAAGTGACTTTTCTGTGATTTTCCATTAGTTTTTTGTCATGCTGTGATTTACTCTTAGTTGAGTTTGACACATGGACTGTAGGGTATAACTGGGATAACAGTCCTTTACAGTAGCTTGTTTCTGCAAGCCCCCTAATGTCAATTCAGATAAACCAAATAAGTATTTCCCCCCTAACGTTGTTATCATATTCTCCAGGGTATATATTTTTTCCATCTGAATTAATATGCCCAAATTGTAAGGCAAATTATTCAGTAACTGCATAAAATGAATGTAATTTTTTTTTATTTTTTTATTTATTTATTAATTTTTTGTAAAAGTTCCCCTCAGATTAACAGAACATGTGTTTTATGATCATACACATATTGCTATATGCTTAAAATTTACTGCTGAAAGCCAAAAAATCTTAAACGCTCTTTGTATTTTTTTCTAAAAATAATTTTTACAGAGCAGATCACTGAAGAGACGCCATCTGTTTATAGTTTATAGCCCAGAATTGTGAGTTCAGCTTCTTCTATTATTAAGGGTTTAAAATTACATTACCCATCTATTTGACTGGAAAGAAGACAGTTACAGCTCTCATATGACCCCTGCCTTTATGTAGCTCGTGAAATCTGAAGGTTATGAAGAATATGACGAAGTGCGGTTTGGAACCACCGGTGGGCCCAAGGAGTTAAAAACGTTAACTAATGTGAAATATCATGAGCACGTGTTGAGCTGCTAGTGAGCAATGAGGGGCAAAAGGGAAGGGGTGAGAACCCCCTGCTGTGAAAACAGTTCTCTACAAACATGGCCGTGCTGTGTTGATAAAAAATGTGTACTGCCACCATAAGAAAAAAAAATAGCATTTAAGCACAATAAAAACACTTCTATAAATGTTGACTTGCTTGTTCACCTACAAAGACGAGAATGTAGTTTGCTTTTGATTTTGTAAATCAGCCACATTTCCATCTAAATATGTGTCAGACCTTTTTCCAAAACTGGCAGAAAAAAATTGCATTTTATGGCTACTGTAAAAAGAGGTTAAGCAGTTTTTGCCAATTACTTACCAGTTCTTATAGTCAGATAGTCTTCATTTTTTCTGCTTTTCCCATTTAATCAAACTTTGTATTCAATCATGCTTTCGGCATCTGAACAGGGGAATCAGGTGGTGCTTTTTTAGAGGTGGATTTGAAATCGCTGTCTCCGCCATAGGTGGCGGTGCAGAGAGGAGTGTGGTGTTTTAGGAAGCGCGGTTTGAGCGACTGATGTGGCTGCTACTTAAAATACCTAGCCCTGTATGTAATGGTGGTTTTCTCCTATTTAATGCATAAATAAAGAGGAGGCACAGGGGTTTACAGCAGGAGTTAAAGTTTCCATTATGTATTCAGACACGGCTCTGCCCAGCTTTCGGTCAACACAGCGAAGCTCTTCCAGCCTTGTGTGGCCTGCAGCCATGCCACATGCAGTCCTGGAAGCTATGGGGCGTTTTTAAAGCTCAGGCAGGCACTGGCACTTCACCAGGCCAGGCTGCTCCAGCTCGGTCTCAGGTGTTATTTCAGAAGGTGTGACACTGGCTGAAAAGTGTTGAGTGCCACAGCTATTATGGCTCGGTACGCAGGAAACTTAAGAACTTAAAGGCTTTTTAAAGAGGAGTGAAGTCGTGCTGGAGGGAAAAGTGCTGCTTTTACAGTGTAGTTATTTCTCTCCACCTGCTGACTTTTCTGTTTGAGTCTTAAAAGGGAAAGCCTACCAACTGGTCATATTTGTGCAAATGTGTGCTTATCCTGGGATGTAATGGATGTTTCCATAATAGACATCTGTAAAATGAAGTGTTTGCCTAGACCAGGGCTTCCATACTTTGGCATTGGGGCGCCCCTACCCTGAACGTTTTGTCAGAGTTTATCAGAGCAAAAAAAACCGGGGTTCAGAATCATCATCCTAGATTGTCAGGATGTTCCAAGCCAAGTGGTGAACTTTATTGCAGTCAAGTTAGCACTCCATTATTTAGCATTACTGATGTGGATATGTTTTGTTTCAGTTGTATCAAAGTCCCTATAGGAACATCTGTCCACCTCATAGCAACCTTAGTAATGCATCTGAGGTGTAGAAGGCTCAAATTTACTTGAATGGGAAGCGACCTCTATACCCAAAACTGCTAGCCAGCACAAAGTTTCAAAAACATATTGGACAACAACTCTGACAAGTACATTTGGAGGAGAACACTATCTACCGATTTCGTTATGTTAGGCAACAGATGTTTACTTGGTTCGCGTTGCCCTATATGATGGGCGGATTGGGAGGGCCGTTGTACCCACCCAGAGAGCAAGACCAATTCTTTGATTTCTAAACTCTAAGTCTCTCAAAATAGGGCTATTGCTAAGAGATTTGCCCCATTTTTTTTGTTTTTGTTTGTTTTGGCATGTAATTTTTGTCGTTTACTTTCAATATTTGTATTCCATTACTGGTGTTGTTGAAAAGCTGTGTTCTAGCTGAATTAAAGGATATAGATCACTTGTTGATCACCATATTATGCCCAATGAACCACTTTTAGGCCCAGTCCCATTTCTTCTTTTTACCCCTACCCCTTGTTTTCCCCTTGTTATTTATTATTGCCCACCCCTAATTCTTTGGTGATATGAAGCTGAAGTCAGACATTCACCAGCTTCTTGTTCGAATTTTCCCGTTCCACCTTAAATGGTGCAGCAGTTAAATTCTGGCGCTTCAGGCGTCAGAACTGCTGGACTATTTAAGGTGGAACAGGACAGTTAGCTATCTAGCTACCGAAACATTAGCATACTATTAGGGATTTGTGTGCTTGTTATGAAGAAAACGACCAAAATACATTGAAACGACATTAAACTAAGATAAAACAGTGATTATCGTAATTTTTTAACAGAGAAAATTCTCACATTTGTGTGTTTCTTTGGTCGCTCGCTCAGCCATCTTGCCGGTTTTTCTTTTTTTTCTGATAACACTCCGTTTGGAGTGTGCCTCTGAAAAAGCTCCGTTTGGAGGGCCATGTAGCCCTAACACTTCACCCCACCCCTCTATCTCAACAAAATTGGGACACCCCAACCCTAGACGTGAACGCACAAAACAGAGGGCTAAGGGCTCAGTGGTAGGGGCAAGGGGTGAAATCTGGATTGGGCCTTAGACTCTGAAAGGTTAAACCCCCTGTATGTGAGCCCGGTTTTCTCTTTCTCTTTTTAGACTTAACTTAGTTTTGTGATAGTTACTGCATTAATGTTCACTAATAATCCTAGGGTTTAAAAATTAAAACATTTGACAACGACGACATAAAACTGTGAACGCTCAAATCATTTGAATGCTTAATGTTTATTTGCATGGTTGAATGGTCTTGCTCTATAATGGAAAACTAGGTGTATATAGCGGGTTTTCCATCTACCTTTTGTTTTTTTTGAAAAAGTGTAATTTTGAAAATGTGCTAAAAAACAACCGAATGTGTAAACACCCACATATCGCAAAAAGAGTTTTTACGCTAGGGCGAAGTGGAAAAGTGAGAATATCGCTAAAGCCGAAATGCGAAAAAGGGTGATGGAAAAGCGTTTTTCGAATAAATGATGACATATTAAGCCATACGAGAGAAGCGATTTGCCCTTCAGATGGGCAGATTGTAGCACATAGCTTTTCGAAGGATGCTTTTGACATTGTGAAATTCCTTATCCAAAGCTCGTTTGAAAAATGGCTCTGTATAATGTGCTCCCAGAATTGTCTGCCGCGTTGGCATTCCCAGATGCAAGGTAGACGTCATCGGCTTGGCACAGAGATTCAGCCCTCAGCTGTGGACAATCACAATGTCTTTCCAGCTAATCTTTTTACTGACTAATCATTCCCCCCTATTATTTTGGAGCCAACGTATGCAAAAGTCTGGGTGATTCTGCTTACCTGATTACACGTTTCGTTGATTTTCTAGTTGAAAACAAGTTAACACATCCTGTCCATAGAACACACTTCAATATTCCATTTTTCTGCTAATTTAATGCACAGTTTCTATTTATTTGCTAAATTTAACATATTGCAAAAAATCAAACATCCAGTATAAAATGTGCCATAACTTTTGCACAGGTCACATTTTGTGTTTTCTTTCCAATCTGTTAAATATAGCAAATAAACAGTAATTGTGCATTAAAAACATGCAGAAGTGTGTTCTCTATAGACGATGTGTACTTATTTTCACTTAAAAAACAGTAAAACCATGTCATTCGACCAGGGGCGTGCAGACTCTTGCATACGACTGTATATTCAAAACCATATGACAGCAAACAGAAAGGAAACGCCATGCCTGTGCATGTGTGTCTGTTTGTGTTTGTGTCAGTGAGTCTGGTGTACTAGACAGTGAGCTGATCTGAGGTAGTCTGTGCTCTCAAAAGTGACACTTATTTTTTCCCCTCTCTCTCCTTCTGCTGCCCATGAAAGAGCTGAACCCTGCAGGTGAGTGCAGCCACTGACAGGAAGGACTAGCGCTGTGTTTACGTTAGTCTGAAACTCGATACACCTCGTACACACACAGAAAAAATCCTTCTGAACTTTCATTCGCTGTCTCACACACAGCTCCACTGTACATACACAGATTCCACATGTATACAGAAAAGCTAACAGACATATACAACACAGACATATAGAGACATAAACATACAGTCATGCTTTCATTATGTACATGTGTTTACAGCCTGTGCCATACGCTCCCACTCACTGTCACACCAGCCATTGAAACATACTCCAAACCTGCTGCACTGTCACACTTCTCGAGTTTACTAACCGGTTTATGTCATGCACTTATTTTGACATTGTCATTTTGTTTGTTTTTGATAAACATGCTGTTTTTTTTGTGCCATGCGTTCACCCACATACATCAAAACCTGGCCCAGTGGACGAGGGGAAGGCAGTTTGCCGTTTGGGGGAGGTCACGGTAGTGATGTGTAGGCTCATATAGGCTTTCCTGTTGATCTGTAGACACGGAAGGAAGGAAGATCCTCCTCTAAAGTGATGGTTTGGCTGAAAATCAAATGTACACAGTTTCCCCTTTTTACCCCAAATGTAGTCGATCAACCAAGACACGTCTGGTGACCAAAGTTAGCATGTTTAGTTTTGTGCTGAAGCTAATGCAATGAGACTAACGTAGCTGTGCAGCTAAAGTAATGGGCTGACCATTTCTGTGTCTGTTTTTTATAACACGTTACGCAATACACTGTCAGAAGCACATAAGCAAGTCTGCGTCCTTAAACAAATGGTTCTTGAAGGTTTTTTAGGAAAGATGATTATATATTAGGATCATTCTACTGAACTGGTTCAAATTCAAACTTGGAATTTAGACTATAATCCTTTTGCTTTGAGTCGATTTTATTAAACAAATGATTTGAATTTTGTATTTTGTCACTAACAAAACAATCGTAACACTCTCGAAACTAAAACAAATGTTTCAGTGTTGACCTCTTCGGTAGTGACAATTGTAGCTAATTTTAAGCAGTGCTCAAAAGGAAGAAAGCATATACAAATATATGTGGAAATAAATAAAAAAATCTTCTCACTATGGTAACTTGATGAAGAGGGTTCAATTACCAGCACAGGCCTTATCTGTTTGCTAATTAAGTACTTTTGGGATAAGCTGGAAAACTGTGTCAATTTGATTTTTGGCCAAATACACATTTGAGTAGGCCTGTCTTACAATAACATACATTTTTGTTATTTGCTCTTCAACATGTAGAGATGCAGTAGCAGCACTGGCCTGTAGGGGGCTGTATCAGCTACACAGGTGATTCTGTGGCAGGTAGAAGGCCACCCACAGCACAAATCAGATTTAATAATTGCCCCGTCTCTTTGTAGCGACCGTATTTGTTTGTCTTCCTGGAGCGTTATCGTGCAGCTGCTCCAGCCTTTTCAGAGGAAAACAGTACTTTTCCTTTGTCATGTCATCTCTGAGCTGTCACTTTAGCTTTAGAGATATATCTGGATCTTTTTTCGTGCTCGCTTTAACAGTGCTCGCTTAAATGTGTTCATTTTACTTCATCGCTATGAATCTAGTTTATGCAGAGACAGCTTTGAAGTGAGCTTATTCTTCCAGGGATTTATAGGAGACGGTCAGCAAAGTCTATTGTTGCTGTCCTCAGATCAGTCTAAGCAGAGATAAGGCATAGTTCCAGTTCAGTTCTCCATGAGAAGATAGACCAGAAGGTGAGGTAAAGTATGAGTCAGTTTCTCCAGTTCTCTTCAGCTTGGGGTTTCGCCAGGACTGCTGGCAGATCAGTGAAGGAAAATAGCCCACTATGTGGCTTTAAGCTAGCGTCCCAGCACTCTGGCTGTTCTCGGGTCAGTCCAGACAGATTGGGTGGCCCCACACATCCTCAGGGGGTTTCGTTCCTGCGCTGTTATCTTAGCGAAAGTGACATGAGTTGAGCCCGGCGGCCAGCAGCTCCGGTTACCTGGCCAGACATAACAGGAAGGGATTAGCGTAGTGCTAGCTGGAGTAGCAGCTAGCGTTCTGGGTTTACTCCAGCCAGGGCTTTCTCATTGAGCTGAGAATCAGCCCAAAGCGGTTGCCACGTTCATCTGGTAATCTGGGCTGGAGGTCTTTCAGGAACCTCTAATTGGTCAGTGCTTGGGACGTTATTGAAGGGTGGAGATGTGGGATGTTTGTTGTCTTTTTCTATAACGTGCTATTTGATGAGTCTGGGTAGGTCAACCATAGAGGAGAGGCACATTCGGGGATGTTTAAAGGTTGAAGGTGAATGTTGATCTCCTGACTTTTCCCCTCACCCATCCGCTTGAGCCAGCCGATCACTATACATACATCATGACAGTTCAGCAAGAAAAGGCAAATTTACATGATCCCCCCCCCACCCCCCCTTACCCCAAATATAGTCAGTCAGCCAAGACATATTTGGTCTCAGGAGATTCTTTAGCTTTTCACTGGTGCCATGAGGCAAATTTGGCAAGCAATGAAAACGTACAGTACTGTGCAAAAGTCAGAGAACACCTTTAAGTTTTTTGGTTTCCAGTAAAATGTCTGCTAAATACAAGTTCTTCATTTTCAGGAGATATTTCTGAGGAGATTAGATAAAACATAATCCACTTGCTAAAGGAAGGGCAATGTCAAAGACAAATAAATGAGAAAAACAGGAGTTTCCTGAACTGGAAAATGGGACTTCTGACAACCACCTGCAAGACCTGGTAGACCACCAAATCTGTCCCCATCAGATAAACAGCACTTAAAGCTTTCATCTTTGAGAGAGAGGAGAAAATCAAGCTCCACTCTTGCATCAGATCTGAAAAAATCCACAGATGTTTCTGTCCATCGTTCCACTGTGAGAACACAACTGTTAAATATTTGTTTTACTGTTTTTTCCAGCTGCAGAAAAATTAGTCTTTTTTTTTGACTGCAAATTTAGGTAAATAAAGCATTATCTCTGATTTTTGCACAAAAAAAATCATTTTTTTAGTAAAAAAATATGCTAAGTAAGTCATATGCTGACAGAAAGCACATAAACAAGTGTTGCTATTATATCAGACAACTTAGTGTAGCTTGAGGCAAGTGTAATGATTTAGGTATGCAGTTTGCATAATGCTAATGCTAATAAATGCTACTTTACAAATTCTTCCATTACTTGTTAGCTCTAGTGGAAACTAAAGAAACAAAAACTTCAGACACGTTTACATTTTCAGTAAAGGGAAAACTGAATTTCTCACTGAACTGTCACTTTCACTAAACTTTTCACTCTTTACTTTGTCAGCTTGTTTGTAAAGACCTGTTCTGTGTCTTTGTTGCCAGGAGTTCCACGAGTGGCTCAGTGCAAGTTCGTGCTGCCTCTGCGCCTGGTGTGCTGCCCAACCTCAGCCTCTAAGAACGCCAAGTACAAAATCACTGTGGATACCAACAAACCTCCAGTCAACCTCAACGAGGTCTTCCCAGGTACCAGCACTACTTCCCAACTACCAAAACAATCAAATAAAACTATCAAGCAGATTATTTATAACCTTGGTAAACGAACACCTTTTTTCTGACATGTTTGTCATCATACAGTCATCATCAGTTTTGTCAAACAATGGCAATTTGTTAAAGGGGATTCCACCAATCTTTTAAAATTTCCATATATTTTAATCGCTTAAACATAAACAAAGTAGAGTGGTTTGGTGGGAAATGGTGCATTGTTAGAAACTTAATGGATGAGATTTCTTTAAGATTAAGATTAATTGACCCTTATTAGTCCCACAACGGGGAAATTTCACCTCCGCATTTAACCTATCTGTGCAGTGTAACACCACATACACACTAGTGAATGCACACAAACATTAGGGGGCAGTGAACACGCTTGCCCCGAGCGGTGGGCAGCCGTATCCGCACCGCCCAGGGAGCAGTTGGGGGTAGGTGCCTTTGCTCAAGGGCACTTCAGCCACATACCGTCGGCTGAGGGGATCAAACCGGCGACCTTCCGGTCACAGGGCTTGTTCCCTAACCTCCAGCCCACAACTGTCCAAAATAGTGGTGCTGATAGGGATCAGAGGTCAGAAAGTCTGCAGCACAAATATAGTCTTTTGATTTATCATTCATAACTACCAGTGAACCTACACGTATCTTTTGAGCTTTTATGTATAATGTTGATAATGGTGAAATAGTGGTAAATCTAAAAAAAATATATTTTGTTTGTCAACTAGGTTGCTTTATAACATCCCTCCACCATGAATTAATTTTCAAAAATGTATTTAAGACACACAGACACACACATTATCTAAGCCGCTTATCCTTCTGGGTCATGGGGTTTTGCCAGAGGCTGTACCAGCGGTCACTGGGTGGAAGAGTGGAAACACCCTGGACAGGTTGCCAGTCCATCACAGGGTACATTTAAGACCAAAAATCTTATCTTTAAACAATGTCTTAAACATCAGGCAACATATTTGTGATCATTTTGTAATAACTTAACATGTAATAACTTTCTGTCTGGAAGCTTTTAAAAATATTAAAGTCTTCAGACGTCTGGTTCCCATCACCTTCACTGAGAACAACTCTAAGTTTCTCTAGAACGAAGCATTTCACACCAAACCACTCTGAGTGACTTTATTTACATTGTAATGATTTAATTATGTAATTACTTTAAGTACTTTTTATTAGACTTACTTATGTGTTGTCTGACACTGTTTGACATACTGTTCCTATAGAAATGGACAAAAGTATGTTACATTGGTGTAAGCGGTCACAGCTATCTTGAAGCCTGAGTTTTGCCTGTACACTGACCTCAATGAACATGTCTTGGCTGATCGACTACATTCGGAGTAAGGGAAATTTGTAAATTAGATTTTTTTTGTTGAACTGCTCCTTTGAGCTGGAATCGTGTGTGGAGAATTGTAGGCTGAGGCGTGTGTTTAGTGTTGCAGTGGCAGGCGAGTGGCGTCTGTCGTCAGTGCTGGAGCAGCGGCTCTGTGGGAGGAAACGGCTTCAGTTTTGACATCCACACGGTCACAGCCAAGTGGCCATGAAATCTAAACAGCCATCTGGGCCACATCCTCCACGGAAACTCCACACTGACACACAGAGGGCGTAATGCTGCTGCCTGGAGCGGCGTTTAGTCACCTAGTACACAAGCCAAATTGCATTGTTTATTGACTATTTATGAAATGGTTTTCAAATGCTGAATTGGTGTTTTGAGAGTTATTTTTCATAGACATGTTAGTCTGTCTTTATATATGCAAGACTGTTTAAAAGTCTAAGCGAATTGTTTAAAACCATTTATCTCAGCAGTAAGAGTGTTTTTGACAGTAAAAACTTGCGCAAACGTATTAAAGGGAACTTCACAGATTTTTCAAAATGTCTTTAAACTTCAGTTGATGAGATGTAAGCAAATTCATTTTTTTAAATTTTCATTGCAGTGGTGGTGACTTTGGAATGTCTACAACACAAAGACATTTTATCTACCATGCAAAATGATTAGTGAACCTACACGTCTTCTGAGTTTCGTTTGTAATGTTGACGATGGTAAACAGTTTTTTAATTCTAACTTTCTCAAGTGACTAAGGCTTTTGCACAGTACTATATATGTAAACATACATAGTGATTGTTACAGATGCTCTTTAGTTACCATATAATAAACTGAAGCAATGTTAAAGTGATAGGTTGACCACACACTCGTATATAAACAATTTCCCCCTACCCTAAATGTAATCCACCAGCCAAAACAGGGTGCTTTTTTAATTTTGCACTGGAGCTACAAGTCTAAGGGAGCACCAGTATGCATTATGAAAATCATCTCATACTTGTTTTAAACTATGTTGGCTCGTTAAGTAACCTCAAAGAGACTTGCTTATGTGGTTTCTGACATTGTGTGACACACAGGCTGTGTTTACATGCAAAGATTTTTGCCAATCCAATTGAATACATTCTGATTATAGATGAAGACTGAGGTGTTTGTGTTCACTCTACATGAGAACCACTTAGTGTAGGCGTTACCATGACAACGAGCATCACGTGAGTCCAGTCAGAGTAAGACGAGCAGCAGTGAGCAGTGCTTGTGTTTTTACTTGCTTTAAAATGACGTCAGACTCGGGAAAACGTCCTTCACAGGTCCTTATTAAAGAAGGCCGAGAGGAACACGTCGTGTTCTGAGACACATAAGCTGGACGTCCGTCCCACCGCTGTCTTTTAAAGATCAGAGCATAAACTTCGTCTCCTCTGCAGATCAGTTTCTGCTCCGCCATGTTGAACATGCGCAGAACGTACTTAAACTGTCCGATTGGGAATGTAATCAGATGCAGGCGTTTACATAGTTATTAATCTTCTATTTAATGGATTGTCTCATTCAGTCGGACTAGTCTATTCTGATTGAGGTGTATACATGGACGTATTCTATCCTGATTGAGATATTAGTTGGATTATTATTGGATTATTAGGCTGCATGTAAACGTGGCTACTAGGGGTGCGGGAAAAACTCGATTCTTAGATGCATCGCGATGCGGACGTGAACGATTCTGAATCGATTCACAAGTGTCAAAAATCGATTTTCTAAATATTTAATTTATAACATAATGTTGACGGAACGCAAAAGGCGGAACTGGAAGTGCGGAAGTGCAGCGCCCGGACAGTCTGTGGCGGCACATAACAAAAACACAACTGGATGAGCGAGAAATCCGACCGACTCTCTCTGCTTTAAAGCCAGGTTAGATCAGGAGTCACAACACAAATGTTAAGAAGAGACATTTTGCCTTTCAACAAAGTCAAACCACCTTTGGAGCCACAACATTTAGTGTCGTAGTATGGGCTAAAAATATAAACGAGAGCGCAGATTTACTTTGCTCTACTTTAAGCTTTAGCTTTAGCCGCTTTCCTCCCATCTCCGCCAGAAAACTTTTCTTCTAAACTAGAAGAGTTTCTTGTAAAATGTCTCAGCGTCCGGCTGTTTTACGAGGCTGAAGTCGCTTCTCATTCGCCAGCTTCTCGTTCTAATTTTCACCTTAAATTCTGCCTTAGGCGCCGAATGTAACTGCTGCACCATTTAAGGTGGAACGGGAAAATTCGAAAGAGAAACGAGTTCATTTTCGCAACTTTTTTTAAACTCTCGTTGCAGATTTTTTTTCGTTCGCTACTGGCGAGGCCAGACCTCTGTGCTGTGTGACCTGCTGTCTGCTCACTGTTCTCGGTCGTTCAGAACCAGGGCTTTCGCGCTATGCTGCACACTTTGGAGCCGAGATTCAGCGTCCAGTCTAGAAAATACCTTCCCCCCCGTCTCTACAACGAGACCAAAACCGAAGTTTTAAGATCACTAAAGAAAACGGGAAGGACGGCTTTAACGTGCTGCGTGGACACCCATTGCCACTGGATCTTATTTCAGGGCAACAGCGCATTTTGTCGCAGATGAGTGGCAGCAGCGTCTCTGAATGAGAGCCTTCTAGTTCACTTGCCACATCACTTCCATTTAATTTATTAATAAAAGATATTTTAGATATTTAAAGCAAAGTATTTGTAATGATCCATAATGCATTTACATTATGGATCGTTACAAATACTTTGCTTTAAAACTTCCAAGTCCTCAGACAGTAGGAAGATAGAAATCCTGTAAAGAGAAAAAAGACGCATCGAGATGCATCGATAATCGTTTTATAATCGCATCGCAGCCCTCTGAATCGTAATCGAATCGTGAGGTGCCTAAAGATTCCCACCCCTAGTGGCTACTGTTATCTATAAACAGGGAGAAAATATATTTCATAGCTAAAATAACTAAATGTTGAGTTTGGCATAAAGGGAATTTTATAAATTAGATTTTTTGCCAAACTGTCGCTTTAAGTAGCTAACTAGATTCCCACCAAACTACATAAGCCCTCTGTAAACACATCTTTCATGCCTCCTTGTTGACAGGAGGCCATTGCTGTAGTCTCCTCCTCGTTATCAGCTGACTGTGACAGGTTATCAGTTTGTGGTGAGGGGGTATTGAAGGGGGTATTGTAGGGGGTGCTGGGTCGGCAGACAGCAGGCCGCGCGAACCCTTTTCCCCGAGATAAAAGCAGCGGCCGAGCGCGGGGGGGCAGGAAGATAAGAAGCACCGCCATTGTGCTCGGTTCACCTTGGCTGGCGTCCTGTGGGGAGATAAGCGCCTCTATCTCTGTCTGACATCCCTCCTGCCACACAGCGGGACGGCCTGAGAGCCGGGGGCCGCAGACGCCCGTCTACCTGTCGCTGTCAGACTGTGTGTGTGAGAGTGAGAGATAGAGAGAGAGAAAGAGAAAGAGAAAAGAATATTATTATTGTTATTATTAAACTGTCCTTGGTAAGCCGGCAATCAGTTGTAGCCGTCTCTCAGTCAACTAAATTCATTTAGTAATATAATAAATATGATATACCACTTTTTTGCCACCTTCAGGATGGCACATTGAAATCATTTAAATATATTGATGCAGTTTGTGTACTGTGCTGTTCATTTGTTAGCTGGGGTTGTCACAATTACTCAGTTAAACTCAGATGCTCAATTAATGAACCCCTTAAATGGCCAAACATCTGTTGCACACCTCTAAACCCAAGAATATCTCAGCCAGTTTGCATTGTTACTGCATTTTGAGCCTTGGGATGTAATAAGCTGAGGATTTAAGGGGTTGAGTGATTAGTTGGTATTTAATGTGGTGATAATTCATGGAGTTTTCAGTTCTGCTAATAGGCATACTCCCATCTGAATGCGTTTTTTTTGTTGTTGTTATGGTGTCATTTATGGGCTTGTTTATCTTTGAAATTTAACGGATTGCACATTTTGTTGATTTTGAAGGTAAAAATAACAGATTCTCTACAGAGAAAAACCTAAACATGGCATTTTCTGTAAATTTTAGAGCAGAATTTCTATTGATTTGATATTTGTTTTCTTATGCTTAATATTTTAGAAAAAATAAAACCTATAATAATAAATATATAAATATAAAATATACTATATCTGCACGGGCCATATTCCATGTTTTATTTTTCCCCCAATATATTAAATACAGTAAATAAACTGTAAAATGTGCATTTTGCCAAAAATGCAACAGCAAAAAATCTAGCAGTTCCTCAGCAAGGGATTGCAGGGGTTTTAGGTATTCCACCTTCTACTGTGTGTAATAACATTAATAGATTCAGTAAATCCAGAGAAACCTCTGTGTGTAATGGACAAGGCTGAAAACCACAAATCAGTGCCTGTGACCATCGATCCCTCAGAGGGCACTGCGTTCAAAACAGACACTTTTCTGTGATAAGGATCACTGTATGGCCTCCAGAATATGTTGGCAAACATATGTGTCAATAAACACAGTCAGTTGCTGCATGAAGACTGCTATGCACAGTGGAAGCCATTTGGCAGCAACATCCAGAAATGCTGCCAACTTCTCTGAGCTTGAGCTCATCTGAAATGGACTGAAGCATAGTGGAAGTGGGTATTGTTGTCTGACGAGTCAATCTTTTAGATTATTTATAGAAAAATGGATGTTGTAAAAGAAAGGACCATCCAGATTGTTACCAGTGTAAAGTTCAAAAGTCGAGGTTTGGTTATCTTCGAATGGGGGGATGGTATTAGTGGGTAACTTGCACATCTGTGAAGGCATCATTAATGCTGAAAACATATTGGAGCAACAAATGCTGAATTTTAGACACCATCTTTTTCTGGGATGTCCATGCTTCATGCATTTCAATGTGAAAATACCTGCACGTGTTAAAACAGCATGGCTGCGAAATCAGAGAGTGCACTTGCTAGACTGGCCTGCCTACAATCCAGAACTGTCTCCCATTGAAAACATGACTTCTTAAGTTCAAAATACAATGACGAAGGCCTCGTTCAGCTGTAGACTTGTATAACAGAGGAATGGGAAAAACAGGGTCAGCTTGTTTCTTCTGTCCTTAAACAGTTACTATTGATAAAAAGAAAGCTGATGTAACACAGTGGTAAAGATGCTCCCCTCCCCCCATTTTTTTTGGAACATGTTGCAGGCATCAAGTTCGGAACAAGCATATATTTACAAAAAACAATGAAGTTTATAAAGTAAAACATCAAATATTGTGTTTTTGTCCAGTTTTCATTGTAATACAGGTCAAACAGAATTGACTAATCACTGCTTTCTGTTTTTATATGGATTTTTTTGGAATTAGGTTTGTATTTTGAGTTCTGCCTTCATGAGACATATGATTGATTTAGACATTTTTCTTACTCTTTGTTCCCATCCTAATAAGTCTGTGTTTCCATGAATATTTATCTCATGATTCTCACCAGACAGATATCAGTACGCATCACATCTGGCCAAGCAAGACTAACAAAAGACAGGTTTTAAATTATTAGATTTTTTTTTTTCTTCACATTTTTAATTTTCTCTTATTCTGCCTTCTCTCCATTCCTCATTTTTCTATCTTCTTTCCCTGTGGAAGAGTTTGTGGCTAAGGCTGAGGATAAGGAGGGTAACGCTCTGGCCTTCCAGTTCATCGCTGGCTCCAGAGTCACCGTCCTGGCCTCCAAAACGTCCCGTGAGTGAACGCACACACACACGTATACACATCCATCAGGAGAGTGTATTCTGTGATCTGCTGTACATTGTCAGGAGCTAATTACAGGTGCTGTGGAGAGCAAAGGATGATAGGACTGTTGTGTGTGTGTGTGTGTGTGTGTGTGTGTGTGTGTGTGTGTGTGTTTGTGTGTGGGCCTCCTGCAGAGCGTTACAGGATCCAGAGCGAGAGCTTTGAGGATATCTGGCTGGTTGCCAAGGAACTGGTGCAGCGTTTTGACCGGCATTTTGCCAAACTTGGTGTCAAAGATTTCCGCAACAGCTTCTCCGGCCCTATCCCGCTGGCGGAGTACTTTGAGACCGTGGACCACCACTTCGAGGTGAAAAGTTATTCTTACTCCCACACACATACATACAGTAGGGACCAAAAGTCTGATAGCACTAGTGAAAATGCCTATATTTTGCATTCTCCTCCAATTTAATAAGTTTTTCATTACAAATTCAGATTGGTAAGAGCTTATTATTGATGTTGATCTGTGACCTATATTCCAATATATGTGTTTTCTTGTTCAGTATGACTCTGACAAACTCAATAAAAATCTCTTAATTTTTGGGTTTGTTAGATCATCACCTTAACATATCTAATAAACACAAAGCAGCAGTCACAAATGACATTATATATATTTGACATTATTAACAGAAAACAGTGGATAAAAAGGCTGGAATAGCTCCTTTTTTGCTTTTTTGCTGATGAACTTTATTATAGTTTTTATATATTGTTTAGGCTACAGTTTTCTCTTAATTTTTGGGTTTGTTAGATCATCATTGTTACATATCTAATAAACACAAAGAACACAAAGCAGAAGTCACAAATGACATTATATGCCATCATTAACCGAAAACAGTGGATAAAAAGGCCAAAATAGCTCTTTTTTTTTGCTTTTTTGCTGATTAAATTTATTATAGTTTATATATAGTTTAGGCTACAGTTTTGTGGCTTAAAAAAGATGAAGCTTCTGAACATTAAATACAGAAATTAATAACAACAAATACTTCAGTATTTGAATTATTCAGGCCAGTCCTAAGTTTCTCAGATATTTTAGATTTAAGTCCATTGTCAACAACCAGCACAATACAATATACATATCAGCACCTAAAGCCAGTTTCCAGAATATTTAATTGATTTGCGGTGCTGTACTCTTATTACTCTAATACATTCTATGGAGAAATCCTTCACAACCTTTGTTGGTAACCGTTCCTTATGTGGAACAGTTTTCATTCTGTAAAGACTCTTAATGCACCTGATTGAGTTGATGAAGCATTAGAAGCATCTGAATGCCAGTGAATCTGATTAGAGGCACTAAAAAATGATGCAGAAGAATCACCAGGAGCTAAATTCAACACATGGATCTAATAATTAGATTCATGTTTTATGTACTGCACACATTGTTACTGCATACATTTAGTAAAAGCCTTTTGTTTTGTGTAAATAAAATAATATTTTTGTTAACCCTTGAAAAAAATTCTACTAGGTATCGATACCAAATTTGAATATTTCGCTTCTATGGCTCATCAACATCAGCCAATAAGCATGCTTGTTCCAAAAGCTAGACTGTTGATTGGCTGTCTAAATCACATTCCAGATGCATGTAGTTTAATGGAAGATTTTGAAAACAGTTCCAGAATCAGTATCATATTTAAGGTATCGGTGCTGGTATTGAGATTGAAAATGTTTTAACCATATCCAGATCTAGTTGCTTCCAAACCCGAGTTCCAGATTAGACTGAATCATCTAAATACAGAGGGTTTTCATAATGTTGTGGAATTGTTTGCAGCTGCGAGTGAACGCGCAGAAGTATCAGGACCTGCTGTCAGAGAGAGCCGTCCAATTCAGAGCCATCCAGCGCCGGCTACTGACCCGCTTCAAAGACAAGACCCCCGCCCCGCTGCAGAACCTGGATACGCTCATGGAGGGCACTTACCGGCAGGTCAGCATACGCACACACACGTGGATTTCTGCCTTGAATGGGTCCAGATTTATGAGGTTCTTCTAATGGGTCTCTTGACATTACATTACCTCCACAGACAATAACCCAACCTTTCCTTCATGTCTAGCACTCAGTGGACACATGATGACTCCACTTGTACTACCATTTGTTTGGAATCACTGCTTTCAATAGTAAGAAATCAGTGTTGTTGCAGATAAATGCATACAATGATTCTAACATGATGCTAATACTGTACAACTTCATAGCTTTCAAAGAATTTGTAGGAAGCTGAAAAATTAAAATGAATGAAATGAATTCATAATGATTGAGGAAGCTTTATAACTTCGAGAATAAAGTTAAAATAAAATGTAATGTCCAGAATGGCTCACATTTAAAAAGTGGAGGCAGAGAATTTGACAGGAAATTGCTGTAAATTGATAATAAAAGTTGCAAAATTGAATTATTGAAAACATCTGGGCATCTAGTTTATATGTCAGTCTATACTGCACAAGTAATTAATAAATAACACATCAACAGCTATTAATCAGAGCTGGGATCTGATTAATTTATTTATCCATAATTATACATAGCAGCCATTACATTTTCTTGTTCAAATTTTAAAAATGAATAGTTTTTATTTCTTATCATTTTGTATTGATGGGCATCCTGCGCTCTGATCTGTTATCCAAAAAACTTCAGAAGCAGTGTTTTTTGTACTTATGTGATGGCTTTGTAGGAGTCAGACACTCGCAGAGCAGGCTTTGGTTAAAATGTTTAATAAGGGCTAATCCAGAATCGTAGTACAAAAACAGACAAGGGTCCATACACGGGCTAAGCTAAATCAGAATAAGAGAACACGAGCTAGAGGTCATTACACGAAAGAGAAAACAGAGTGAAAAAGGGGTCAGAAATAACACAGAAATAAAGGCTCAGTAAAGCACAGTAGACTGATACAATACTTCGCAATGAGACTACGGACACAAACAGGTTATATAGGCACTAGAACAGGTGTCAACAATCAATAATCAGGAGAACGGGAGTGTGGATAGGTGGTTGGTTGAGAGTCAGTGGTCATGTGATCCACCAGAGGATTCTCGGAGTTGGAGTTCGGAACAGAGTGAGGTGTGTTAGTCTCTGCTAAGCCGGCGGGAGGCATGACAGCTGAAATATGGTTCATTGTTGAGCTGTTAGTTTTTTTCCACACTGAGTAGTTTTTTACAACTTTAGCGCACTTAAACCTTCACATCAAGTTCAATGCACATTTTTTAACACTGAGAACGTAGTATGACATCACAAAGATCAATTAATTGAGTAGTAATGTCGACAAAGTTTCCTTTGAGCTAGTGTGACTCGAAACAGATGCTGGGTAATGTTCCATTCTTCTAACAAAGTTCATTAAATGGCACGAGATCCAACAACACACAGGAGCTGTGTCTTAGATATAAAAAATATGCAACTGCAAAATAATCATGCTATCATATAATAAAAAATCTCTGTTCTGATTATTTTATCTCGATTTATCAAAGCCCTACTATTGATATTACAGGTGATTTTAATGGAAGTCTACATGAGTGTGGGGTAGAGTGGGATAGAGAAAGTTAAATAAATGATGGAGCCAGAGAGGATGATCACAGTATACAATCAACCATTGCTGATGTCATTTGTCTGTTGTTTAATGGGGCCATTTGTAAGCTCAATGTGTTTATGCATGTGGTTCATCACACATCATGCGTGTGCGTTTGGATTATTGCAAAGTGATGGTCCTCTGAAAGAGCTGTTTACAATAGAGGCAACTCTGACACTTTTAACCAGCTTCTGCTCACTTTAACAAGATCAAAATGAAGTTCTGTGATTGAGAGTGTACGTAGGACGTGTCTGCGTGTGTATGTTTTCTCTCTTTCTTTTCTAATGACATCATTAGATAATGTATTTCAGTAGTGCGGGATCATTAAGCTGGTCTCTGATCAGAGCAGAGCACTGAGCCAGTGCTCACTCCATCTTATTAAGTCTTCACGGTAGAATTACACTGTTGTGTAGACACCTGCTCCTCCAGCATTTCTTCCAAAATCAAGGGTATTAATAGCGTTTGTTCCCCTTTGCTGCAGTGAAGTGTTGGAACATTGCTGTGAGGATTTGATTGCATTCAGCCTTGAGCATTAGTGAAATCAGGTACTGATGTTGGATGGTCAGTTCTGGATTACTCCAGCTCTTTCCGAAGTTATTGGATTGAGCTTCACTCCAGAGAACACAGTTCCAATGCTCCACAGCCCAGTGCTGCGGGGCTTCGTAACCTCTGGCTGATGCTGCTCAAATGGTCTGACTGTGCAGTGCTCAGTCCTATGTGGAAATGCTTTTCTGTGGAATGATGCAAAGGACCTTGTGATGTGGAAGTTGACACAAATTAAAAGGGTGTTGGACATTTTTGGACATGTAGTATACGTCCTGCTCCACTATTGCATGCAGATTATTAAAAATAAGAAAACAGCATTCAGAATAATAAAGACAAGGACATTTAAAAGTCAGAAATAGAAAACATCAAATAATCTCATTTTCATTTTGGTAATTTAACTGATGTAAGATTGAATTTAGAAGAATGCAGTTAGTTTAGATCTATCGTGATTACTAGATTAAACCATCTTTGATTAAAATTTACCTTTTTAATAAATCTGCAGTAATTATTTATCATTTTGAATGATGATAACACATTTTTAAAGTCTCTTATTGGTCTCTGTTACAGTATGAAACCTGTTTCTTGCCATATTTTTCAAGTACTTCTTTATAGGAATCTGTGAAGGACTGTGCGTGGTTTGTTATTGTTATGTTCTTGTTTCTTGTTAGACCTTGTTAAAAATCAAAATAGTTGATTAATTGTCAAAAAAATCAGTAGGTTACTTGGCTACTGTTTTATCAAACCAAGTCTAAGACGGACAGATGGAAAAATCCAAAAAATGGAAAGGTTTTCCAGTGCCGTTGCGGGCCGAGAAGCTTATTGTACAGTCTCTAGTGAGTTATGTACAATGAGTGTTGATGCTGCCAAGTCCCACATGCAGTCGGTCATCTGTAAAACAGCAAAGAAGAGTTGAAAAAGGTCTTAAAAACAAAGGTAGACAAAGCTTATTGGCTGGTGCCCCACAACATTCCTCCTTTTGCCCATTAAAAATGCCTTAGAGATTTATTGTACTCTTTTTCCCTTTTAACAAACATGTTTGGTCAGAAATGCAAATAATTGCGGTGAATCAGATTTTGTTGCAGTTTGTAACTGTATCCACTGCGATATCTAATTCAATTGCAAAAAAGCAAAGTTTTTGGACACAAAATTCACTGACTTGGTGGCCCATGTGGCCAGTGCCAATTTTTATGTCTGTCTACCCGCTTACATATGTTACATGTAATTTTTTGATTGTCATTTTTAATATATCTTTTTCTTATATGCCATTTGTTTTGAATCTGTTTAAATTAAATGAGTTGCCATATTAATTGTGGCTTTTACCCGGGTCAAGGCTTGTCCAGAGAGTCATGTTTGATGCTGTGGATTCAGCATGAGTCACTCAAGTATAGTATGTGTATGTGTGTCACTTGCTCCATCAGCTCCTTTCCTGTCTCTCTTCCCGTGCTTCTTATGTGAATGGTATGCGGGAAATGGCGACACCCTATACACACTGTAATGTATACAGATGCAGACAGAATGGAAGGTATTGATGGGTCGGGAGACTGATGTGTGCTCTGAATGAATAATTCAGCTCTTCATGCACACACTCACGCACACAGACACACGTCTTTCCCGTCTTTAGGCTGCCACAAGGTGGGAAAATATGAAACTTCTCCTGCTGAGCCTCTTAGAAAGATCATCCGACTGATGCTAACATGCTTTTAGTCATTGTTAGAACCTGCTAGAACTAGAACTATCCTTCTAAAGCGGTTCCTTTTCTGGTGGTTTTTGCAAAGCAAGGTCTCTGTGTGAGTCTGAACAGGATAAAGGATGGTTGTTAGGGATGAAAGAGTGAAATCCAAGCCGATCAAGAAGTAGCGCATTCAATACATTGTTAAATGGTCATTCCTGAAAAGTAGTTAAAATGTATTGTCACATTATGTACATTTGTAACATTAAAGTGATTTTACTGTAGCATTTTAAAGTTATTGGCAGTCAAGCATATATAACCTAAATTGGATTGGTTTTACTACCTTTAATGATGCTGTTGGCTGGAGGACTGATTGGTGGACTATTCTCAGTCCAGCAGTGACAATGAGGTGTTTAAAAATTCCAGCAGCACTGCTGTGTCTGATCCACTCGTGCCAGCACAACACACACTAACACACCACCACCACGTCAGTGTTACTGCAGTGCTGAGAATGATCCACCACCCAAATAGTACCTGCTCTGCGAGGGTCCATGGGGGTCCTGACCACTGAAAAACAGGGTAAAAGGGGGCTAACAAAGTATGCAGAGAAACAGATGGACTACAGTCTGTAACTGTAGAACTACAAAGTGCACCTATATAGTAAGTGGAGCTGATAAAATGGACAATGAGCATAGAAACAAGGAGGTGGTCATAATGTTATGCCTGATCCGTGTAGGTATGCATACATATTAGCAACCACCTGGGATACCATAACAATGGCCTAGCAACTCCTTAGCAAGCACCTTGGATAACATAGCAATAGTCTAGCCTCACCTTAGCAACCACCTGGGATACCATAACAACATGTTAACAACCACCTGGGATGCCATAGCAGTGGCTTAGCTATACCCTAGCAACCACCTGGGATTTCATAGCAGCAGCTTTGAAAGCCATCTTAGTTTCTTCACAAACTTTGTAGCATCATTCAGTTTTCCTCTCCACTGTAAAGACAGCAACGATCATGTTTTGGGATATTTTCACACGTTTCAAGTGGTCTCAGACTGCTGAGTCATGATTTTCTGTGCTTATATGAACATGTCAGATGAACTCAGACCCCTCTAAAGGCTCCCAAAAATGAACTGAACCTTGACCACCTCCCCA